TCACCACCCTTTTGGTGAGGAAGTTTTTGCTAATGTCCAATCTAAACTTCTCTTGGCCCAACTTGAACCCATTCCCTCTTGTCCTATCGCTGTTCACTAGGGAGCAGAGGCCAACACTCGTCTCAGTACAGCTGCCTTTCAGGTAGTTGTGGAGAGCAATAAGGTCTCCTCTCAGCCTCCTCTTCTCCAGGCTGAGCAGCCCCAGCTCCCTAAGCCTCTCTTCATAAGACTTACCCTCTAGCCCCCTAATCCTTCTGGTTGCCCTTCTCTGCACCTTTTCCAGCACCTCGATGTCCTTCCTGTACTGTGGAGCCCAGACCTGCACACAGCACTCGAGGTGCGGCCTCACCAGTGCCCAGTACAGGGACACAATCACTTCCCTGGTCCTACTGGCAACACTATTCCTAGTAGTATTGATTGGACCAGGATGGCCAGGATGCCATTGGCCTTCTTGGCCATCTGGGCACGCTGCTGTCTCCTTACATACTTCGGATCAGTATTTCAATTTTCATTAAATGGCTTTGGATGCAGGGTCTCACTGATTTTATTTATTTATTTGTTTTTTCTCCTCATGGCAGTGGTATCTCTATCCATAGATTGGCCTTGGCCCAGTTGTCCAGCCTGTCCCAATCTCTCTGAAGAGCCTCTCTACCTTCCAGCAGATCAACACTTCCTCCCAGTTTTGGGTCATCTGTAAACTTATTACGGGTGCACTCCATCCCCTCATCCAGGCCATTGATGAAGATGTTAAACAGAAGTGGTCCCAGCACTTAGCTCTAGGGGACACCACTCGTGACCGGCCGCCAGCTGGATTTAACTCCATTAACCACAACTCTTTGGACCTGGCCATCCAACCAGTTCCTAATCCAGGCAAGAATATGCCCATCCAGGCCATGGGCAGCCAGCTTTTCTAGGAGAATGCTGTGGCAAACTGTCACATGCCTTGCTAAAGTCAAGGCAGACAACATCCACAGCCTTTCGCTCATCCAGTAAGCAGGTCACCCTGTCATAGAAGGAGATCAGACTAGTCAAACATGAACTCCTGCTGACTGGGCCTGATCACCTGGTTGTCCTGCATGTGCCTCATAATACAGCTCAGGATGATCTGCTCCATCAGCTTTCCCGGGACCGAACTGACAGCCTGTAATTCCCTGGATCATCCTGCCATCCCTTCTTATATATGGAGGTAACATCAGCTGACTTCCAATCCGATGGGACCTCTCCAGTCAGTCAGGACTGCTGATAAATGATGGAGGGTGGCTTGGTGATCACTGCTGCCAGCTCTTTCAGCACTCTTGGGTGCATCCCATCTGGCCGCATAGACTTGTGTACATCTAGGTGTTGCAGCAGGTCAGTGACCACCTCCTGCTGGATTGGGACGGGGGTTTCCTGCTCCCGGTCCCAATCTCCTAGCTTAGGGAGTTGGATTCCCTCCATATAGCTGTCCCTGTTAATAAAAACTGAGGCAAAGAAGACATTAAGCACTTTAGCCTTTTCCTCATCTGATGCCACTATTTGTCCTCTCAGATCTAACAGGGGATGGAGGCTCTCCTTGACCTTTCTTTCATTAATATATTTATAGAAACTTTTTTTATTGTCCTTAACTATAGAGGCCAGACAAACTTCAAGCTGGGCTTTGGAGCTTCTGATTTTTTCCTACATAGCCTCACAACATTTTTGTAGTCGTCATGAGTTGCCTGCCCTTTTTTCCAAAGTCCATAAGTCCTCTTTTTCTCCCTGAGTGCCAGTCAAAGCTCCCTGTTAAGCCAAGCAGGTCATCTGTGCCTCGAGCTGGATTTACGGCTAACAGGAATGACCTGCTCCTGCGCCTTCAAGACCTCTTTCTTAAAGAGCATCCAGCCTTCCTGGACTCCCAAACTCCTCAGTACTGATTCCCAAGCAACTCTGGCAATAAGACAGCTAAACAAGTTAAAATCAGCCCTACTAAAGTCTAAAATGGCAGCTTTGCTTCACCCCTTTTTGACATCTCTAAGAATAGAAAACTTTATCAGTTCATGGTCCCTGTGCCCAAAACACCCGCCAGCTGCACTTGTGCTCCCAGCCTTCACCTGTTTATAAAGAGCAGGTCCAGCAGGTCTCCTTCCCTGGTTGGTTCACTCACCAGCTGTGTCAGGAAGTTTTCCTCGACACATTCCAGGAACCTCCAGGACTGTTCCCTCTCTCCTGTTTTGTAGTTCCAGCAGACATCAGGGAAGTTAAAGTCCCCCACAAGAGCAAGTGTCAGCAACTGAGAGATTTCACCCAGCTGTTCATAGAAGATCTCATCTACCTCATAATCCTGGCTGGGAGGCCTATAATAGACTCCAACAGCCACATCGACTTGTTAGCTTTGCCCTTAATCCAAAAAGACTCAACCTTCTCTCCTGTTTTGTAGTTCCAGCAGACATCAGGGAAGTTAAAGTCCCCCACAAGAGCAAGTGTCAGCAACTGAGAGATTTCACCCAGCTGTTCATAGAAGATCTCATCTACCTCATAATCCTGGCTGGGAGGCCTATAATAGACTCCAACAGCCACATCGACTTGTTAGCTTTGCCCTTAATCCAAAAAGACTCAACCTTGTCATCACTATACTCCAGTTCGGCACATTCATAGCTATTCCTTGTACACAGGGCCACCTCCCCACCTCTCCTTCTTTGCCTATCCCTCCTGAAGAGTTTGTAGCCATCAGTTGTGGCACTCCAGTCACGTGAGGCATCCCACCACATTTCTGTGATAGCCACTGTGTCAAAGTTTTCCTGTGGCATCATGGCTACAAGCTCCTCTTGTTTGTTGCCCAGGCTGCACGCATTGGTATATAAGCACTTTGGGTGAGCTAACGATCCCAACACCTTTTTGTGGGAGTGGGTCCTAATTCCTACCTGAACCTTCTCAAATGTTTCCAGCATCACTGCCCCTTGCCCCTTGGTTTTCTGTTGCATCTCTATTCCCCATCTCTACTGAGATGGGGGCATGAGAGTTTTTGCTAGCATACCATCCTGCAGACTCTGGCATATTTTCCCTGGACTTATTCTCAGTGAGCCCAGATTTAAATCCTTCCCCCATCAAACCTAATTGAAAGCTCTGTTAATGAGCCCTGCTATCTCCTGCCCCAGGATCCTCTTCCCACTCTGGGATAGGTGCATCCCATCTCTTGCCAGTAGACCTGGTGACTTGTATACCAACCCATGATCAAAAAACCCAAATCTATTATGGTGACACCAATCCTGGAGCCATGAGTTGAGCTGATGACTCTTCCTGGTAACTTCCTCATTCATCCCTGTCATTGGAGGGATAGATAAGAACACAGCCTGTGCCCTTGATCCCTTGACCAACTGCCCTAGAGCCCTAAATTCCCTCTTTATTGATTTTCAGCTTCTTGTCATAATTTCTTCACTACCCACCTGAAAGACCAGCAGTGGGTAATAATCTGAAGACCTGACAAGGGTGGGAAGTCTGTCTAGGGCATCCTTTGCCTGGATACCCGGGATACAGCAGACCTCTCTGTGAAGCGTGTCTGGTCTGCATATCGGTCCCTCTGCTCCCCTCAGGAGGGAGTCACCCACTACGATGACCCACCGATTTTTCTTTTCAGGGTCAGTTTTGATGGCCAGTCTGGGGTGAGAGGACTTCGGTCACGCTTATAGCCTACTTGAGCTCTCTCTCTTACTTACAACCTGCTTCTCCTACAGAGTACCCAAACTGTTCTGCAAGGGCACTGCAAGCAGAGCACTTCTTAGGAGAACATGCCTGCTCAGTTTTTTTGTCAAGCAGAGACCTGGTCCAGTTGACCCTTCTCCTCTCCTCTTCATTCACCTGACCCACAAGTGCCAAAGCCCCATACCTATTGTGCAACGGTAACGAGGAAGCTCTTTGGTCACCTTCTTCCTCTGGGTGGCAAGAGGATGCAGGATCTTCTTCTTCTCGTGCAGCCTGTACCTGAGGGCTCTTTCAGGGATGGCAGAGCCTGGTTCCACCAGTCAGTCTCCCTTTTACATGCCACCATGCAGAGCAGATCATCCACCTGTTTGCATCTAAGAGAGGTGTTGCCATGGCTACCCACCATTGCAAGTGCCAGGCACCTGCGCTCTCTGAATCCAGAGGCCTGGACGCCTGCATGTTTGCGTGGGTCCTCTGTCTAAGTGCCTACAGTTTTTCTAAGAGCCTTTGGCCAGGTTGCAGCCTGGTGGCACACGATTAACCACGGCTGATGCTGGCTCCACTCACGCTAGCTCAGCTGCCCATCCTCCAGCTGCCGGCCTGTGGCACAGGATTTTCCTGGCTTTAAAAAGGCCCCAGAAAGAGCTTACTTCTTGTTTAGATCACAGTTGTCCTCTGCAGACGGTTCTTTTTCTGAAAGCAAGAGAATTATTACACTTTTATAAGAAGCAGTTACTACGAAATAGGAAGGGAAGCTGTTATTTTTTCTATGGGTTACGTACTTGATGTACAGGTTTGATGCAAATTGCTTTACGTAATTGTAAAAAAAAAACCAGAACACTTTGCTGTCAGTAAAATGAATTTGTTGCAAAAATTGGTTTGTTATGACCAAATACAATACTAGAGTCTAAATGAGAAGCAATGCAACATGAGAATCTTAGAGCTGAAGACAAGAGTTCAGTCATGCAATGCAAAATTGTTATATTGCAACTGATGAAGACTCTGCAGTAGTATGAAATAATTCTTGTTTCTGGGCTATTCACCAGATAACTGCATAGAAGAATATGGCTTGTATATGCTTTTTTTTTTTTAGTACAAATATTAATCTATTCTCAGGAACATTGTATTTTGTCAGCAAAGGATTGTATTTCTCACTAGGAATATATGTTGTAAATAACTAGAAAGTGACTTATATGTTATTCGACTACAGTTTTATGAAGATATGCTGTATACTTGCATGCTTTATCAGAATTTGCATTACTTTTTGTGTCTTTCAAGTGACAATAAGAGGATGCTCACTGGATTTGTTAAGGTGGAAACCTTTTCTTTAAAAAACCTTATTAAATCTGGTAGTTTTGTGTTTTTCAGAAGAAATTAGGTATACTTCCACACCCTGAAGAAATATAAAGAACCTAGCATACTTGTGAAAATACTCAGAAGTTATATAGCTTCAAATTTACAGTTAGTTCACCAGCAAAGTATCGAAGAAAGAGATGGACAATACTAGAATAATGAATCTGTCCTGAATTTGTATTAGTTATTGTTAGTTTTAATTGCTGATCTTTTTTCTATTTTGAATCAGACATCCTCGTACAAGAATATGTAAAATTTGGGTCCTTGGACACATATTTGAAAAAGAACAAAAACGTTATCAATATCTTGTGGAAGCTGGAGGTAGCCAAACAGTTGGCGTTAGCCATGCATTTTCTGGTAAGTAGTTTATTTACTCTTGAAACTCTGGAGGGTATTTTGAAAGGGACTGGGCCTATAACAGATAGTTAGCAGATGGCCAAGGACATGCCTTTGTATCTTGTGCAAAGTATAATTGCGTTTTCCATTCTTCTTTGATGTTTTATGTTTTATCATGAAATAAAAATGTATTTCCAGTAACATTTTTCTCTCCGCAGAATCAGTCCTTCCTGGTTTTCCCACCTCGGCTCACAATGCTGAACATTCGCTGTTCCCTGGTAGTTAACCACTGAGAAGGGAAAACACTGTACTGTTTAAACTTTGAGTACATTTTTTTGTGTACATTAAGCCCCAACCTTACAGTCTCTTTACTTCAACATCAAGTCTGTTATTTGAGAGAGGATATTTGATTAAGATGAATCTTCCCTTTAACAAAATCTAATTGTTCTTTCATCAATTTTAGATGGATCATACTGATGGATCAGTGTTCTTCTGAGTTAAGATACATCAAATAGTTTTAAACTTGAAACTTTAGGTAGATAATTAAAGAAAGTTTTCTAGAAACCATAACTCTGAGAGGAACTGATGAACTGCCTGAGATTTGATGAATTTAATCTATGTTCATTATTTTCTTTGCTGACATTTCGCTCATGCTGTAATGTATTTTTGTCAAATACCTCTTCAACCATAGGATTTTTTTTGTCAGTATGTAAAAGATGCATTTCTGTTCATAGGAGGATAAAGGCCTTGTTCATGGGAATGTCTGTGCAAAAAACATCTTGCTTATCAGAGAGGAAGACAGGAAGTCTGGAAATCTTCCGTTTATAAAACTAAGTGATCCCGGCATCAGTATTACGGTTTTGCCAAGAGATAGTAAGTCTTTGTGTCACCTTTCTCGTGGAATGCTTCTGACTTGACAAATTAGTTTTAGGGTGCTTTTATTCTGATGACCATCTAAGGTACTTCTGTTACAATATCTTCCTTCATTTATCTATCAATTTAAAATAATTTCTGCAATCCTAGTCAGCAGTTTTGAGTGTATCTTCTTTATCAGCAAATAGCTACAGGAAATAAAGCTGCAGTTCTCCATTGTTTGACGAGCTTTTTCACGCTGTTCTCATTTTCAAATTTATTTTCACTTGTAGTACTATTGGTGTGCTCTAATGTGACATGAATAAGTCTAAGCAGGTAGTGGCTGGACTTAGTATCCTATTATTGATTAAGACTAAATTGTTGTATTTTATAGCTTGGAGAAGCTTTCAAAGCTGACAGTAACTGCACTTTTGAAAATGCCTGGCATTTGAAAATCATCTTCGGTGCATTTCTTGGTGAATACCTCTTTAGGTATCACTTGATGCTAAAAATACTGGATTATCATCTGCAGTTGAAGCTTGTTCTAATGCTTTATAAACAGCACAATTAACCAAATTAAATTGAAAGTGCATGCAGGATTGTAATGCTAATGAAACTCAGGTAATCTTACTATTCTTTATTTCATCTTCTTAATAAATTTGGAAAAATAAACACATTATACTTTGTGATTTTATACATGCCAAAAGAAATTACACAATTTGATGTCATTGTTTTCCAGTAAACTGTTTAAACTCTCCCTTTTAAAAGGAGAAGCTGACATTTATCTTATGAGATTTCATTTTAAGGCGCTCTAAATCTACATTAGTACAAAACCATCTTTAAACTTGTTACTACAATCAATATCATAAGTTTAAAAATCAAGTGGTATGACATTTCATTGTTACAGCACCTTTTACTGTGCCATAATGTGCCAGCCACCAGCAAAGTGCCTTTTTACTCTGTGGGATAGCTACTAAATTTTGGGAGAAATACAGAAGTCAGAGCAAAAAATATAACATGGACACAATGCTAAGGCAGTTTTATAACATTAGGCTTATATTTTACAATAAAACTAATGGTCCTGTGCATAAACGCTTTTGTTCATATTCTGTAGCTTTATTTTTTAGGCAAGGTCAAAAAACACCGGTGGGTACTAAAAGCACATTACAGAGTGAAATACCTATGTATACTGAAGTAGTTTTTATTAAATCAGAATTTTCTGGTTTTATTATTCACCTTAACATGATGTTTCCTTTGTGTGATTCTACAGTTCTTCTTGAGAGAATACCATGGGTTCCACCTGAATGTATTGAGAATCCCAAACAATTAAGTCTGGCCACAGACAAATGGAGTTTTGGTACTACTTTGTGGGAAATATGCAGTGGAGGAGACAAACCTCTGAGTGCACTGGATTCTTCAAGAGTAAGTATTACTGGATTTACAGTCAAAACAGTTCTTTGGACAATTGTGATTTGAAATACTTGCTGTTGTAACTGAATCATCATGTGTAGTTGTGTGGCTCATGACCACTGTTGGAAAAGGGTGCTTTTCCTGGTAGGTAATTATCAGAACTGTGAATTTGAGGTTTGGTTTTATATCCTTTGTTTTAATTTTTATGGAGACAAAGTACAGTGTTGCCAGTACTATCTTGATCTTGTTTCTGTTGCTTTATTACAACAGTGTATCACTTCTAAAAGTATTCCTAACAATGCACATAGATTTTTTAATTGGCATTGTTTTATTAATTGAGCATTTTAAATACTGTAAGACTTCTTGTGTTGCTGACAATTCTACTCTTTTAGCTAAACCAGAAATGTTAACTTTGTCTCAGCTAGGGGCAGAGGGTGAAGCAGAAACACATTCCATAAAAATATTATTTCTTATTTATTTGCTTCCTTATTTGGAAGCAAAAAGATTGTTTCCTTTATTGTGCTACACAACGATTTGTAGTATTATTTTTTTAAATGGGCTGTACCTTTTCACAAAGCTTGATCGGATTTCTCAGGTGTTGTAATCAGTTCATACAATAAGTTCCATTGTCTACCTAGACCTAATTTATGTATATCTAGGTATTTCAGAAGTTGTCGTCCTCTCCTGTGCTAGTCGACATTCTTTTGTAATACTCATAAAGCTTTTTACAACTTGTGAAGCTCAGACAGCTCACAGATGGATAAAATTTTCTGCTAGACTTGTCCTGTTGAAGCTTTCTGAAATTATCAATAAAAGAGACACCATCTTTGTATTATCCGTCTGTATTTTCACAGAATCACAGAATGTCAGGGGTTGTTGGAGGGGACCTCAAAAGATCATCTAGCCCAGCCCCCCTGCCAGGGCAGGATCACCTACAGTAGGACACACAGGAACGCGTCCAGGCAGGTTTTGAATGTCTCCAGAGAAGGAGACTCCACAACCTCCCTGTGTTCCACCAGTAACTGACTAGGAATTTCTGAACTGAGTAATCAAAATTATTCCAGTCTTGCTACATTGTCAGCCTTGATTTTTGACGTAAATTTGTCAGATACACATTTGGTGAGATAACAAGTCTAGATTGAGGGCTGTATTTTTTGTCTGCTCTGGTGAGAATGTGAAGGCATCTGCAACTCTTCATGGTTGTATATTAAAGTGGTTTTTATCTATTTAATTCCAGAAACTACAGTTTTATGAAGATAGGCACCAGCTTCCTGCACCAAACTGGACAGAACTAGCAAACCTTATAAACAACTGTATGGATTATGAGCCAGATTTCAGGCCTTCCTTTAGAGCAATTATACGTGACTTGAACAGCTTGTTCACTCCAGGTGAGTCTGTGTGACCACATAATGCAATAGATGAAAAAAACTTGATTTCTGTTGGTTCATTTTCATATGGTGCCTCCCTTTTTCGTGTGTTGACCCACAACCACTGTCCAGAGCAGCCCTGGAAATCTGAGTTTGTAAGGACACTATGTTACTGCTTTTTAGTTTGTTCTAAAAGAGCGTTTTAAACGTTAGCAGTTTTCTAATTTGATTGATGTTTGTCCCAAACATTCTAAACTCTTAACCAAGTAAATTATGTTTGTGACTGCCTTTCTTTTTTTTTTTCTCAATAAAATACACAGGTATCTTTTTTTTGCCCCAAGTGGAAAAAACTTATGACACGTTGTCGTAAGTCCATGTGAAGTTTACATTCCTTCCCTCTGCAAGAATGGAGTTGTCGCACAGTAGTTACTAAATTTGAAGTAAAATAGGCCTGCAAAAAAGCAAACAGGGAAATTATAGCAAGACTTCTTATGAGTCAGGATAAGTAATTTGGCTATTTTGTAACACATCTTTGTCTTTAATTTCTATATAGTAATTTATAATAAAAGTTGGTTGTTAATATTCTGCTGAAGTTGGGGTATGCCAAGCAGAGGTAGGACATACTGCGATTGCACTAACTTCTTCATTCTTGTATTCACTTCTTTTTGCTCCCTTTTCCCTGTCTCTCTTCTCTTCTTCCTCCCCTTAGATTATGAGCTATTGACAGAAAATGATATGTTGCCAAATATGAGAACTGGAGCACTTGGATTTTCTGGCGCATTTGAAGATCGGGATCCAACACAATTTGAAGAAAGACATCTTAAGTTTTTACAGCAACTTGGCAAGGTAGGATGTTACAAAATTCTCTTAATTGCCTAGCAAGGAAGTATCTTTTTCAGTTGTCTTCCAGTGATCCCATATACAGTATTTACATTAAAATTTCAGTTACAGAAATAAGTAATTTGAGTCATATCTGATCACAGTGTACAATATCTCTTGGATCTTGTTTCAGTTTCATGATATCATTAGATAGAAGAAAGATATCAGACCTCTACAATGATTGCAGTCACACAGAAAGGCTAAAAATCGCTCTAAGTAATTCGGAGCTGCACCTGACATTTTTATTTTATTTTTTTTCTTGTCCATGGTATTCATTTTAAAATGCTCCAGAGTAGTCTTGCATATATAGTATTAATTGGGTTAGGGGTTTTTTTTGTGTGTGTATTCGGATAAGTCTGAATATGCAGTCCCTAAATTGACTCATGTCTTTGAGATATATAGAGGCCTTCAGCTTAAAATCACAGAATGTTAATGGTTGGAAGGGACCTCTAGAGATCATCTAGTCCAACTTGTCCGGCTTTAGAAATCGGAATTTAGTTACTGTTTTACAGCTCATTGCAGCCTTGCTTATGTGAAAGCATGCTTAGACGGGTAAGTACAACTGACAGATCTTCACCAAATAACCAGTTTAACAAAATAGTTCTTTGCTGGTTCATGCTTCTTTTTTTTTTTTTTTTTTTTTTTTTTTAAACATGATAGCTATGCATGCTTTTGTCTTCAAGTACTAGGGAAAGCAAGCCTGAAAGCAAAGTAGGAGATGCAGTTCTGTTTGCAGATGGTTGGTTGTTGACTGTAAATGGTAGCGCAGCATAGAGAGAGTAACAGAGTGGAGGATGATGACTGCTTAAAGGAAGATAGAGAAAAGGAAGAATGTAGAACATTGAAACAAACAGGGGAGGAACCACCAAGATACAGAGCATAATTAAGGTCCAAGAGGAACCTAAAGGAGGGGGATTTTGCAGGTGCAGGAAAAGGAGTATGCCAGCTGACAGTTTGAATTGCAAGTGGAAATTTGAAGGTAATGAATAGATATCACCCTCTCTCCTTGTCCTGGTTTCCTTCCATATGATTTGTTTCCTTTTGTAGAATGTTTTTATTCTTACAGAATTGTTGCATGTGATCCTGTACTCTTTGTTTTTTTCTCCCAGGGATGGTTTGTGACATTTCGCTTAAATAATTAATTGTGGTGACCTTAATGCTGGTACGATGGCCACTGAGGCAGTGTGAACAAGCACCAAGAAAGAGACCAAGATGTGAACATGTTGTTAATTCAAGTATTTCCATTTGTGATTTAGGGAAATTTTGGCAGTGTTGAGATGTGTCGCTATGACCCACTACAGGATAATACTGGGGAGGTGGTGGCTGTGAAAAAGCTGCAGCATAGCACAGAAGAGCACCTTAGGGACTTTGAAAGAGAAATTGAAATACTGAAATCTCTGCAGCATGACAACATTGTTAAATACAAAGGAGTATGCTACAGTGCAGGTATGTGCTATATTGAATACACTTTCATGTGTACACCGAAGTATGCATACTGAGAAATCCAGAGAAGTAAGGGTCTGTGAAAGTCAGTGACTTGTTCTGACTTTACCAGGACTTACAAAGTACAAATCAAAGAAATCAATGTCTGTTGTATAATACTTCTCAGGGCAAGATGGACATTCTATTCAACCAGGTCACTGCATAATGTGATTTGTTTAGAGAAAGTACCCCTTTAAATAGTGATCCCATTTCTTTTTCTTAATACTCCCAGAATACTTAGGGTTAAGTGGGAAAATTCAGCCATTTTGTAACTGTTGTTGTGTTTTGCTGAATGTAGTGTTTGACAGTGGATATTACTGGTTCTTATAAAGCCTATACAGTAAAAACAGACAGGAAAACCTTTGAAAAATATATATATTTGAGTTGTTGATGCTGTTGAGGTTCTGCCCAGGATCGTACCATGAAAAGAAAAATCTTGGGTCCAGAATCAGACTTAAGTTTTTTAAGATGGTAGAATTGCTGACCAGTTGATGTCAGTTGCCATTCTGAGTTTCACACTGGCAGTGAGGAGGAATTACGTAAACACAGGTACACACATGTGGCACTTTTGATGTGCTTTAGCAATAGTAGCTAAAGTATTGATGAAATTATCTGGATTAGTGATGCTCTGTGTATCAAGCATATCCACATTATTGTTATGTTTAAATGAATAGCATTTTCTGAAAAAGTGTGATTGGCTAATATATGAAAAATGGCATAGTGATGTACATATAATTAATCGCGGGTTTGGTATAAAGATCATTTTCTATTAATTTTATTCATAGGCATTTGTAAATATGTTTCAAAACTTTCCAATTTCATTGGAAAAATCACAGAAAAACTAAGTGTGGCTTTTGTTCTTGTTTTTCTAAAAGGTCGCAGGAATCTAAGATTAATTATGGAATATTTACCGTATGGAAGTTTACGAGATTATCTGCAGAAACACAAGGAGAGGCTGGACCACAAGAAACTTTTGCTGTATGCATCTCAGATATGCAAGGTAGAACATTTCATATAATTGATATGCTTCGACATGTTTTTATCTCTTTGGTCTTCTCTCATTTGTCTCAAAACAACCATCATATACAGAAAGATGCTGTAGCTTATTAGCAGCTGATCTCACCTATTCATGTGCTTCACTGAAGCAAGGCTAGGTGGGTAGTCTGCATGAAAAAGTCATTGATGGGCAAGCAGTGTGCAATAATGTTGGAAAACAGAAAATGTTAACAAGTCTGTGGCAAGTGTCAATCATTTTTCACAAAGAAGGATTGAACATGTGACCACCCACCCAAAGAAGGTTAAAACGCCCTCTGATCTGTGTCACAACAAGAAGTCGTTCTCCAGTAACAGGCATAAGAAATACTCCCAGTATTATTTTTGCCATAAAATAACTACCAGTGCTGCTAAGTCACTGAAAACAATCTTCCTTCTAGCGAAAGAGCTAGAAAGAAGCCTCACCCAGGAGGCTGGTGACAGTGAATCGTCTCTAGCGTAAAGATGCACCAGGGATTTTTGAACACTCAAAGACTGCAGCCGCTTACCTGTTTTATTTTGTGGCCATCTCAGCCTGTAAGCTAAAGGGTTATAAAGGTGCCTGCCTTGCTTACTCTAGTAAGCTTGCATGTCTAAGTCTCCAGACTTTATCCAAAGCCTGAAGGAAAAACAGTAGCAGGCTATCTCAAGACGCTGGTCTCTGGGACACAGGTATCTGATAGGAGGACTGGAAGGTGGAATTCTGGTCTTTGCAGGCAGTACAAGTATGGCAGGAAGCTTTGTGAAAGCAACTGTATTCAGAAGGTACAAAGAAAAAGGCTCTTAACTTGTATGTGTGTATGGACATACCCATATACAAAAGAAGCATCAAAATATTACAGGTCTCCAGGATGGTGATGAAAAATCAAAATAGCAGACAGAGTGACTGCTTCTTAAGTACCATGCATCAAACAGGAGGAAGGCAGCTACAATATACCTTTGGCAGATAATTAAGTGGGAAAACATTCTGCTTTCACGTGACAAAGCGTGGGTACACACAGTATGAGAATGTGGGAAGTCTGCATGTAGGACGTGCTCTTAAAAAAGTATCTTCCCTTTTAAGGAGAGCAAAGTCTAAATTTCAGTGTATGTGTCTTGCTTTGCACTGTAGTTGCTGTACTACCTGCAAAGCAGAGGTTATATTGATTGATCTAAGGTTTCACCCTAAACTGCAGCATTCTTTTACTTCAAAGCCTAGTATTACAAAAATGTAATTGGATTGTTTTCCCTTCTAGCTGATCACATTTGTCCCTTTCCTTCTGCTGCGTTTGCTCTTTCAGCATCTCAACATCTCTTCTGCTGTGAATTTCTATCACTGTTATTTTGGGTTTTTTAATGAAAAAAAAGTTTCTCCCTCTGCCTTGCTGCTCTTCTCTCAAACATATGAGAGAAAAGAAGGCATGCCCTTACCTGAAGGTTAAGATGAGTGTTTGCTTGCTTGCTGCATTTTGGTTCCTTGCTTCTATACTGCAAAAGGATTCCTGACTTAAAGGTGTTACTTTTTTGTGCCTAACTTGTACTGTGAAAAGCAGCATTTTCCAGGCAAGGTGTTTGCAGTTTTGATGTTTCTGTAGATGCATATTAGTGCAGCTGTCATCTGGTGCAGCTTTTGCCAGTAGTACAGCTTGTCTGGAGGCAAGCAATAGGACTTTGCCATTCTATTGTCAAGATTCTTTAAAACTGAATATAAACAAGGAAAGTAACTTTTCCATGCATATGGGTTTTGGAATGTTCTCTTTTTTCGCTTTTTCAGCCCTGCATTTTGTTGGTGCTGGCTGATAGGAAGAGAAACTAAGAATAAATTTATTTTTCCGTCTCTTAATTCTTAAAGTGTTCCAGGTATCCTTACTGGTGAGACCAATTTTAGTGACGGAGACTTTTGAAATCATATAATTAAACTCAACTTGCTTGTTAGAGTAGTTACACAGGATTATGATTTCCTCTTAGAATTTATGTTATTTCAGTTAAGTATCTCTGTTTAGAATAGGTGTTTTCCAGGCTAACAGAAAAATTACTGTCATCAGAGAAGCTTTAGGACTCTTTTCAGTAGAGTATGTAGTAGTAATAAAAAGTTATAGCATTTACATAGACTGGTTGTATCAGAAACACAGGAGTGTTGCTTTGAAAAAGTTAATTGTGATGTTCATCCCGGGTAGCAGTGGATCAGTGGGTGGTGATGAAGAGTAGGGGATTTTTGAACGGGTTTGGGATGTGAAGTGACTAAACAGTGATGCCACCCAGCGGTGCTTGGAGGTAACGAGTCTGAGAGGAAGCAGAGTCCGACTATTTCTGAGGTTTCTCGCTTAAAAATAGAGAAATAAATATTTTGGCATTAGTAGTATAACATTGATGTTCAAAACTTTTGAGTTCAACAATGCTCTTAGCATAACTTGCTGCTTTTTGGTTGTGTTGAAGAAGTGGAACTCTGAAGCTGACAGTTTCCTTTCATGAGTTGGATATCTCTTGGCATTGTGCAGAATCAACTTATGTCCACCATTTATTGCTTCATAAGCAAGGCCTTTTTTAATAATACCACTACACACACTGGCTTCTACTGCATTTCATTGTTAGCAAAAAGAGTTATGTGCATTGCTAAGAAGGTAGCAGCAGCAGCAAAAGATGACATGGCTTCAGACCAGTGCTGTTACAGCAGACCATGGAAGTAGCAATCAGCAGAACTGTGTTGGTGAATAATGGTCACACACAGGTGGGAATACAGTCAGAGAATAGTTGTCAAGTTCAAGGAATTGTAACATAAACTTTCATAAAGCAATCAGAAAAGGAGATATACAAAGTGAAGAAAAAAGATTAAATTAGAAAACAGGAAAGTCTTCTCATCTGCCCTTGATTGTGTAGCTTAGAACTAGTTTCATTTTGCTTCTCTCTGTCACCGGCAAACGGCATTCGACCATTAAAGGGAGCTATAACAGCTATCCAGCTGCATAATCAAAACACTTGGCTCCGACAAGTGCTCAGTCTGTCTCACTTCGGTTAAGGGGAGTCCCTGCACCTGGAAGAACTCCTCAGAGAAGACAATTGTTCATGCAGACCGGTTTTGGTAGCAGTCCATGTTTGATTTTAACTTGGAAGTTAATTCATCCCTTTAGGAAAGTGTTATTTCATGTTAAAAGTAACTCTTTTCCTGTTGTGTCTATGAACTTTATGCCTAGGGCATGGAGTATCTGGGTACAAAAAGATATGTTCACCGGGATTTAGCAACAAGAAATATCTTAGTGGAGAACGAGAACAGAGTTAAAATTGGAGATTTTGGATTGACAAAAGTCTTGCCACAAGACAAAGAATACTACAAAGTCAAAGAGCCTGGTGAAAGCCCTATATTTTGGTAAGTCTTCTTTTGGTGTGTGGTATCATGGCATGTTTTCATTTTTTTGCAGTTAGAGCAACTGTTTGGTGTGTTCTGGAATTTTTAAGTGCAAACTCCAAGTTAGTTGCCCAGCATTGTGAACATCATACGCATGGTATTTGATGTTACAGAACAGCCAGCAGGACATTTCAATATATTTAAAACAAACAAACAACTCCCCCCCCC